GATTCACTCTCTGTGTACATGTCACCCTGGAAATTGAATCCTGATTTTCTATGACCTCCAGCATTGCACAGGATTGAGCTACTGCTGCACAACTGTTGGTAGACCTTATCTATTAAAAAAAAAAATTGGCCAGATGGTGCATGCATTCATCAGAGACAGAAACACAAAGAGAAGGAGATGTAGAGAGGGACAGACACCCCCCAATGGGGAGTGGTAATACTGTGGTTCCTCTTCTCCATTTCTCCATCCTATTGGAATTTTGGGAACACTTACATGCTTGTCAATGTGTTTTCCAAGTCCCAGGTCAGGATTTGAATCTATGGTTGGCCATATGGAGTCTGGTTCCCTTAACCACTAGGCTATGGGGTTGGCCCTGGTGTCTCTAACTTTTTTCTTTTCTTTGTTCTTTCTTTCTTTCTTTCTTTCTTTCTTTCTTTCTTTCTTTCTTTTTCTTTCTTTCTTTTACTTTCCTTTCTTTCTTTTCTTTTTTTATTTGTAGTTTTTGCTATAGCATGTGTGCTCACTGGAGAGAGAGAGAGAGAGAGAGAGAGAGAGAGAGAGAGAGAGAGAGAGAGATCTCCCCCCTACCCCTCAGCAGATGACCATGCTGCAATCCCTTCTCCTCCAGTCCCTTCTTAGGGTTTTGGGCACACATGCACACCTGTCTGGCATGAATTGTAAGACACTGGGTCTGGTATTGGAGCCATGGAGTTGGCCATGTGGAATCCATCACCTTAATCTCCATGCCAACTGCTGGTCCCCAGTCTCTCTCTCTTTCTTTTTTTTGCCATAGGAAGCGTGGCCAGGCTGAGAGAGACAGTGAGAGGGAAAGAAATAAATCATTCCTATAGGGGACAACCACCCTGCAATCTCTTCTCCATTCTCCTCCTGGGATTTTGGGCACACACACACACAAGCCTGGTGTGATTGTCAAGCCGCCAGTCCTGGGACTCAAACTGTGATCGGCCATCTGGGAGTCTTGTGCCTTAACCATTACATCATCTGCTGGACGCCAATCTCTTTTTCATTCTTAACGTTAACTTCAGTTAAGTACAGTTGGCCCTCCCATCCTCTGTTCTTCATCCAAAGATAAAAAAATGTTATATAGTTGTTTTGTACTATGCAGTTTGGCTTACCATGGTTGTCTTTGTACTGAACATGTACATTTTTTCTTGTCTATGTTCTCTAAATAGTTTAATAACTATTTACATAGCATTTACATTATATTAGGTATTATAAGTAGAGTTGATGTAAAGAATAGGATGGGGCCAGCAGGTGGCATGCTGGATAAGGTTTTTGACTTCCACATGTGTGACCATGGTTCAAGTGCCAGACCTGGCAGTTTGTTTTCTTGCTTTCTCTTTTCTCTCTCTTCTCTGGTGAGTATGCATACCCTATAGCAAATAATAATAATAATAATAATAATGATAATAAATAAAATTAAATAATTATTTTTAAAAAAGAATATGGAAGATGTACATATATTGTATCATTTTAAATAAAGAACTTTAGCATCTGAGGACTTTGTTATTCCCAGGGTTGGGTGGAGTTTGGGAACCCCAGAGACAACCCTTCAAGGATACTGAGGAACAATTAGGACTTAATATACTGACATCTGGGGCCAGCAGGTGGCGTGGTTGCTAAGGGTGCTGGACTCCAACATGACCAACCATGGTTCAAGCTCCAGACCTAGAGGCTTGCTTTCTCACTTTCCTTCTTTTTCTCTCTCTTTGGAAATATTTAAAAAATAATAATACAAGTTAAATAAAAGAATTATTTAAAATATATATATATACCAATATCTTCTCTATGATTGGGACTGGCAGGGTTCATGGTGGTTAAGACACTGGACTCCTGGGGCTGGTGGGTGGAGTGGTGGTTAAGGCACTGGACTTCCACATGGCCAACCATGATTCAAGTCCTGGACCTGGCGACTTGCTTTCTGTCTCTGTCTCTTTGGATAAACTGAATAATAATACATAAAATAAAATAAAAAAAATATATAAAAAAAAGACACTGGACTCCCACATAGCTGGCTATGGTTTTAGTGTTGGACCTGGTGGCTTGCTTTCTCACTTTCCCTCTCTCTTTCTCTCTGGTTAAAAAAATAATGATAAGTAAAATTGAATATATAATTCTGAAAAAAAAATGTCAAAGTATTTGACTAGAGTTCCTTTTGGCCATCAACTGGTAATCACAGATCTCTTTGCACTCTTCAGAGATAGTCACTGCTTTTCTTGTTCTTTCCACTTTGGTTCTTGAGGGTGGTTTTTATCTTTGACTCTCCCACACATTTCTATGAAGCAGCAATACAAAGAGAAGGGAGACAGAAGGGACCAGACACAATCCCAGGATACTGTCAAATGACAGAGATAAGATACATCTACCGGGACCAGCAGTTGGCGTAATGGCTATGTTGCTGGACTCCCATGTAGCTATGGTTCTAGTATCGGACCTGGTGGCTTAAACTCATGCTGGGCGTGTGTGCATGCATGCCCAAGATCCCGAGAGGAGAATGAAGGAGGGATTGTGGGGCGGCCATCCTCCCTGGGGGGAGATATCTCGCTTTGTCTCTCTGTGTCTTTCTGGCAAGCTCACGGTGCCCTATAGCAAAAACCTCTTAAAAAAGAAAAAAAAGATACATCTATCAGAGAGTGCTTATGATAACAATTTCTATTTATTAAGAGGCACAGCTTGAGTATTCTTTGATCAATTCAGATGAATAATAAAGGGTTCCCTTGAACTGGACAGGACTATTTAAGGTTTCAATAGTTTTATATCAAGTAGTTTATACAAGTGTATTAGTAAGTTAGTAATTAGCACAGTGCTCAGTATGAGCTAATTACCTTCCCACCTTATTTGAATCTGTTGGGTCCAAAGGATGCAAACAGGGTGTGAAAATAATTACTATTTATTGGGGGTTTATTATGCACCATGCAGGTATTTCACATGATCTCATTTCGTTTTCACAAGCCAACTAGGTTAAATGGTATTATCACAGAAAAAAGCTCAATTAGAGATAAGGTCTGCTGGACCCCAAAGTCCATATATCTAAAAATTCTGGGATACTACCATTGTGAACAAACAGGCCAGTAAATGAGAAATACTTTAAACTGTAAAATACTATGCTACAATTAAAGCATTACAGAACAGGGCACATTTTCCAGAGAAGAGGGACAATTTTCCAAGACAGAAAAACCTGGTTTGGGTCTTTTCAGCCAGAAACAACTCTTGAGCCTCTTTATCCTTAAAAACGGGGACAATCTTAGCCTTAGGGGATTGTCTACATGATGTAATAAAAACGGTTGTATAAACGGTTGATATCGAGCAGCGTTCAAAAAAAGTCTGAAGCATCAGGAGCTCGGGGATACAGAACGCGACCCACATTTAACCGGTCTGAAGGCATCGCGAGCTCTTCCGCCCGTCCACGTTACCCATGCAGTCGGTGTAGCGACTAGCCGTTGGCGTTTTCCCGCTCGGCGGGCGGGGCTGAGCGCGAGTTCCGGAACGTGGCAGCGAAACCCCACCCCCCGGCCAGGACTACCCCTCCCAGCGGGAAGCGCGCTCAGTCAACTGGCCAGCGGCGATTGCTAGTATTAGTCCCAGAAGTTATCCTGGTCTGCTTTCTTTCTTGCCCCACCCCCGGCATAAAAGTCTCTGAGGCGAGGGGTTGCTCCTAATAACAGACGGAGAAAGACTGCAGTAGTGGGTGCCTTTGCCGTGCAGCATTCTGGGAGTTGTAGTCCCCACATGCAGCATTTGAGAGCCAGGCTAGCCTTGAGTGGTTGAACCACGCCACGTGACAATAGCAGCCATGGGGGGGGGCAACTTGTGCCTTGTGGCGTCATCACAGAGCGACAACGAGCTGCAGTTGTCCTCGATATGATAGGTAGTACTTCTCTGATAACTGCAAGTACGAGAAGCGTCATACAGTCTCTTTTATCTGTTCCTTTCCTTGACTCCCACAATCTCCACGCTGTTGCCCTTTCCTGGTTGGGGTGGGGCTGGTGGCATGTTCTCTGGGCGGGAGAGCTGCGCGCTAGTGACGTATTGTGGTTCCTCCTTCTCCCTTGACGTAGAAGTCACGTGACCGACCGGGCCGACTCTCCTCCGCCGCCGCCGCTTTGTAAGAGGCACACTGGCAGGGCAAGAGCGGCGCGGGGGCG